TTTTTTAGTTTCTGTTAAATTTTCTGTTGAATTTATTTTCTTGACACTAAGAAGGGATAAGAAATTTAGGAGACATGGGAAAGCATGGACCTTGCTATCACTGTGGTGTTACAAGTGAGATTTCATGTCTAAAGGGATATATCATTCTTTCTCAAATGAATTGATTATATGATCTTAGCAGTTTCAGTTTGTAATCCTAGGATTGTATTTTGTATTTGATTTATTAATCAGTTGTAATGATGTACTGAATAGACTAGAGACTGAACAATACAAATTCACATATGATGTTTGTGCTTCATGTTCATGTGTTTTGTGCTGGTGTCTCGCCCTTGTACTTGAAATCATAGAAACCCATTTCGAAATTATTGATCCTAATGCATATTGGTATATCTTTATGGTTACTCACTTTGGCTTTTTTTTAGCTTCTCTTGATCATAGTTATACGCGTGAACTCTATCATCGTTGTACCCTTTCATATAGGTGCAGACGCGTAGATGTTCTCACCAAGCTCCTTGATGATGTGGACTAGTTTGAGAGTCGTTTCGTTGTTGTACATTTGTTGGATACTGGTTTTGCAACTCTGCCCCAGTGCTTTTCACTTATTGTTTCGAAATGAGAGTTCGGAGTTTCACCAGTTCTGATGAACTTCTATGAAATTTGCCAATGATTTGTCTTTTCAGAATATTATTTTGAAGATATTGGTTATTAGATAATATATATCATCCATGAGTTTTTTGAACCATGTGTGACGATTTGCACGTCATTCGTACGAAGAGTTAATGCTTATCACTCATTTCTTGCTTGTCTAGCTTTGTTCTTTCTTTTCTCATTGTGAATTTTTTTAATATTTAGCTTGTCTCATGGTGTGCTATGTCAATATTTGTATGATACTGTCCATTTTTTTTTTTTTTTTGTTTCCTTAAAACAGATTTAACACGACTTGTTATTAACTCGTGTTTTCTCGACAGGCACTCCCTTGTGGCGTAATGGGCCTCCTGACAAGCCAGTACTCTGCAATGCATGTGGTTCGAGGTGGAGAACAAAGGGAACTCTAGAAAACTATACACCTCTGCACTCGAGAGCCGAAGGCGATGAGATAGAGGACCGTAGGTTTTCTAAGGTGAGAGCCTTAGCAGTTAAGAACAAAGAGGCAAAGGCTCTCAAGCGCAAGTATGAAAGTGATGCTCCTCTCGATTATAATAATAACCAAGGATTTCGTAGAGTGTTTGATGAAGATACTAGCAATCGGTCGAGCTCTGGCTCTGCTATTTCAAACTCCGAGAGCTGTGCACAATATGGCAGTGTTGATGCAAGTGATTTAACTGGTAATTACTTTTTGTTTTTGTTTTTTGTTTTTGTTTGTTTGTTTTTTTTTTTTT